TGATTTTATTTTCATGCCTGTGATAGTTTACATTTTAAATTTTTAAATTTTTAAATCAACAGGCTGACACTTCACTACACACCTACTTTGGGAAGATTGAGACCTTCACCTTAAATTTTTAAATTAGGGCTTTGTGTCTCTATACTATTTTTCTTTCTTTGAAAAATGATTCATCTCAGAAAAAAATTACTTTACCTGGACAAACCAGTCACCTAGATTTTTCTTGGACTGTGTGTTTGCTGCAGGTCTAGAGTTGTTGATTTACACACACACACACACACACACACACACACACACACACACACGACATTCATTCTCTGAAGCCCCACATTAAATCTGTTTCATGAAAAATGGTTTAAGTGTTCAATTACTCCCATGTTTTCTATTTTTCTGAACAAAATGTTGAATCCAGGAGTTGATTCTACCCAAGGTTCTCAGCCACATCTTGGCACATGAGTTGTAAGCTGTGGTTTGTATTGTGCATTTCAGACGATGTATTGTCCTAGTGCTTTATGCAATCTGCCTTCTGCCAGAGTTCTGCCTCAGGCATTGCCCTGCTTGATCTTCTGAGGCCAGCTGCTTCCACTTGGCCCTTGTCAACCTCAGCAGCTTTGGGAAATCCTGCACAGTTTCTTAATGGCTAATATTACTCCAGTATATGAGCTTTTAAAGCTGGAATCAGGTGTATTTTATTTTGAACATTATTGTTTTGTTTTGTTTTGTTTTTTTTTAAACAGATTGGTTATGAAATGCCCTAGTGTTTAGAGTGAAACCCAGTTGGTTCCATAGCCTAGCTCCTAGCCTGTCTGTCCTCTATAGAAGGTTCCTCTCTACATATGAAAGTAGACAATTTAGACAAGCTGTATGCTTCTTTGTGAAAAAATAAGACAAAAAGCCAAGATGTCATCATGCCTTTACCATGTGCAGTATGTGTAAATGTACTGCTGCTAAGAGTTCTTACCCCGCTGTCTTCTGTTCATTCTATCCTGCAATGAAAGCTATTTTAAAAATAAATACCTTAGGGGATCTCAAGCCAAAATGATGTAAGCTAATTATACTTTTTATATATTTTTATTTTCATTTACAGTGTGTGTATGTGTGTGTGTGTGTGTGCAGACACCCACAGAGACCAGAAGAATGCACCAGATCTCCTGGAAATAGAGTTAAATACCATTGTCAATGACCCAGCATGGGTGCTGGGAACCTGAACTTTGGTCCTCTGGTAGAGCAGCAAGTGCTTTTGACCTCTGAACCATCCATCTCTCCAGTCCCATAGTTATACATTTTAATACTGAGACACTGTTCTATAATAAAGTGCCATTTATCTAATGTACATTACTCACCTTAGTATCACCAAAAGGAGCTGGGTAAGCCTTACAACTCCCATTAAACAACATGTCATACTTAATTTAGCATCTTATCCAATGTTAGTGAAATAAAGCATGCCTTAAGGAAGAACAGTTTCAGATAGCCAATACCCTTTAGAGATGATACAATAGGTGGTTTATATGTGATAAGATTTTTTTAATCATCTTACATAGAAAGGAGAATTTTCCATAGGCTATATGGAAAATTGTATGAAGTAAAACTGAAATAATTCCAGGCAAAAACAGCAGTACTACACACATGGAGATGTATTAGCCCACTGCGAATTCTGAATTGCATCTGATTTAACATTGACCAAAATTTCATAGGAAATGAGCATGTGCTTTCAGAAATAAAGAATATATATTGAGGACAGCCAAGGTGCTGCATCTTGTCAAATCCACAGTATTCCCCCAAACACTGACTGTTACATTTCTCAGAGTGCAATAATGTGGATTTAAAACTTGCCTGACTATAGAGAAGGAACCAGATAAAACACTGAGTGAATTTGTACTAATTCTGTTCCCCTTCAGGTTACCTTCGTAGGTAAAGTTAGCCTCCCTCTCCCTCTCCTCCTCTTTCCCCTCCCCTCCCCTCTCCTCTCTTCTGCTCTTCTCCTCCCCTTCCCTCCCTTCCTCTCTCCTCCCCTCTCTTACCCCTCTACTTCTCCATCTCTCCTTACTTTTTTCCTTCCCTCCATCCATATATACACTTATGTACATACATATTAGAAAGTATACCCAATGCTACATGTATCCATATAAAGATATATGTTCTTATAAATTGAAATAACACAAACGTATCTTAGCAGCTTAATGAAAGTTTGCATATTTAATGCAGAAGTATAACCACTTAGGGGTGGAGAGATGGCTCAGAGGTTAAGAGCACTGGCTGCTCTTGCAGTCGACCCAGGTTCAGTTCCCAGCACCCACATGATGGCTAACAACCATCCATAAGTCCAGTTACAGAGGATCTGATGCCCTCTTCTGACCTCTGTGGGCATTGCACAACATTGGTGCACCTACGTACGTGCAGGCAATACACTCATACACATAAAAATAAAAATAATAAATAAAATATTTCAAAAAGGGAGTGCCACCACCCGAAGGAACATCACTGAGGTTTCTCACTCACATGGTTCCTGCCCACTATTCTAGCAGCTAACAATATCAGCCTTTTTTGTTTCTGAACTTCAAATAAATAAAATGCTAAAAACTGTATTATTTTGTGATTGGCCTCTTTTAGCATTTACTCTAAGGTTCGGGGAGTCCAACTCAGGGCCCCGAGTGTACTCAGCACATGCTCTACCACCCAGGTATATCCCCAGCCCACTCCCAGGTTTCTGGGAGATTTATCCATGTCGTTGTAAGCAGTAATACTTCATTTAATTGATGTGTTATTTTCAGTTTTATGGCTATAATGTCATTTCCCATAATTCTTTCATGTTGGGAGCTATTTACTTTTTTCAGTAAAACTTAAAAGTATGTTTTTCTCTATGTGTGTGTTTGTGTGTTTGGCTTTGCACGCAATGTACAGTTCTGCCTGTGTATGGGTATACATGGGGTTTGGAGCAGGACATGTGGCACCTTCCTCTATCTTGCGCTGCAACTTGCACTCACGCAGGATCTCTCATTGAACTGGAACCTCACCTTGTTCTCTAGGCAGCTGGCCAGGGAACTCATCGGATTTGCCTGTCTCTGTTCCCCACTGCTGGGATTACAGGCATGCACAGCAGGCCTGGACTTATGTGGGTGCTAGTGATTCAAACCTAGGTCCTCATGCTTGCAAGAACTCTTACCCATTGATCCATCTGCCTCACCCCTAAACTTCAACCCTTGCTTGCTTGAGATGACCTTGAGCTCAACTTGACTGAAGAACAACAAAAAATGTAAGTTGTAAATTTGTTTCCTTGAGGTCTACTGGTTTTTAACATCTGGTGTTGCTATGGAGAACTGTGGTAAGATTGAAATATTTGGTACTTACCAACAAGTCAGGTTTTATACTGCTTTCTTTTTCCTCTTTCTAGGTACACATAGATATTTGCTTCCCTTTATTTCATGGAAAGTATGTGCTTCAGACATATTTTTATACTTATTTTATCTCTCTTTATATGTAGCAGTGTATTTTAAATGTATATACGTATGTAGGTAACACATATACACAGACTTAACTTCTGTTTTGTATTTTTATTATTCTAAATATTTGCATCCTTTCCTGCTTTTCCACAAATTGCTTGTGAAATCTTTCAAATACCTTTTGGTATGACTATCAATAGCTTTAATTTTTTTTTCTCTTTCCATCCTTCATTCTACCAGTTTACTTTTTTTTGCATGCATTTATTGATTTTTAGGATATTTTGAGGTTGTGTTTTCTTTACTTCATTAGATTTGTGTATAATTTTTATCTATGCTAACATTATACTTAAATTTTTATTATAATATCTCTTTTCCTTATTCATCAGAACATTTGCAGACATCTCAGACACACTGAGGCTACATCTCCTCCTCCTGCACCTGCTCCTCCTCCCCCTCCTCCTCCTTCCCCTCCTCCTCCTCCTCCTCCTCCTCTTTCTTCTCCTCTTCCTCCTCTTCTTTCTTCTCCTCTTCCTCCTCTTCCTCTTCCTCAGAATATCTTGATGACTACAGTAGTTTTTGGATTTTCTGGCAAATGAAGAAATACCAGCTGGAAGTCTGAATACTGACTTTATAAATATGTGTCCTTCTCATTCTGAGTTTGTTCTCGCATAGAAGAAAACCTTTCTGGTTTGCAGGGAGTCAAGCTTTCCTACCTGGATATGATATGATCAGTAGGATACCCCAGTATAGTTTCTACTCCGCATGTCTTACCAAGAACTTTCTCAGTGACACTGGTAGGCTAGATCACTAGTAAACGTTCAGCTCTCATCTGGTAAATAGCCTATCCCTGCAGTTCCAGGCAATGGCTCATTCGTTTCACTCTTCGGATGAACATCATCACTGGAATAGCACACCATACTCACTCTGCCTCTTTCCTTCACAGTGATCTGTGGATCACGAGATATCCTTGTGCTCTGGCACTGGCTTCAGAAAAAGAGAAAAATACTTGAAAATATATAGTAAAACTTAGTTTTCAGTATTTCCTCCTATGCTCTTGAAAATTCTGACTTTATTAGAAACTAAAAACAAAAGTTGACCTACTAGAGGCAGAAAGTAAAATCATTGTTACTAGGGGCTGGAGCATCTGTGGGAGGTTTGAGATGGTGGTCAGCGGGTAAATATTTAAGTGAATGAGCAAGAACAGAAGCCCAAGGACTCTACAGCACAAAACGGTGACTTATCAACAGCAGTATTTTGTGTGTGTGAAAAATGGATAAGTAGATGTGATCACACAGATGATAATGTGAGGTGATGAATATGCTAATTAGTTTTAGTCCTGCCAACGTGTTCATGTACTTGAGACCTTGGGTTGTATATGATAAATACAATTTTATCTGTCAGTTTAAGAAATAAAATGTGTAGTTCCATATAAATGTATAAGCCATATTAACGACAAAGTGCCACATAAGGAAATGTTTATTAAATATTTTAATTTTAATGCTTTCGTTTAGTGCTAGTTTTTCTTTCAGTCTGACATTCTGATTGCTTTTGACTTTTCAGATGCAACAGCTGTTCCATGAAAATTATGAACACAATCGGAAGGGTTATATCCAAGACCTTCACAACAGCAAAATCCACGCAGCCATCACGCTTCATCCCAACAAAAGGCCTGCGTACCAGTACAGACTGCATAACTACATGCTCAGTCGCAAGATCTCTGAGCTCCGCTACCGCACCATCCAGCTCCACCGCGAGAGCGCGCTCATGAGCAAGCTCAGTAACAGCGAAATGAGCAAAGAGGACCAACAGCTGGGAGTGATGCCTTCCTTCAACCACTTCCAGCCTCGGGAGAGAAATGAAGTCCTAGAGTGGGAGTTCCTGACAGGGAAGCTCCTGTACTCAGCTGCAGAGAACCAGCCTCCTCGGCAGAGCATCAACAGCATCCTAAGGACAGCGCTGGATGACACTGTCCTGCAGGTGATGGAGATGATAAATGAGAACGCCAAGAGTAGGGGCCGGCTCATTGACTTCAAGGAAATTCAGTATGGCTACCGCAGGGTTGATCCCATGCATGGGGTGGAATACATTTTGGATCTCCTACTCCTGTACAAAAGGCACAAAGGGAGGAAACTGACTGTGCCCGTGAGGCGCCATGCCTACCTCCAGCAGTTGTTCAGCAAGCCTTTCTTCAGAGAAATGGAAGAACTCGACGTCAGCAGTCTGGTGGAGAGTATTAACAGGGATACTCACTCATTCTCTTTTATATCTAATTCTCTAAAGATACTCTCTTCTCTTCAAGAGGCCAAAGAAATGGGAGGGCACAATGAAAAAAAAATACACATTCTGGTTCCTCTCATGGGAAGGTATGATATTTTCTTGAGATTCATGGAGAATTTTGAAAGCACGTGTCTTATCCCAAAGCAGAATGTGAAGCTGGTCATCATTCTTTTCAGTAGAGATGCTGGGCAAGAGTCTGACAAGCATATCGAGCTGATACAAGACTATCGGAACAGGTACCCAGATGCAGAAATGACCCTGATTCCCATGAAGGGAGAGTTTTCCAGAGGTCTTGGTCTTGAGATGGCATCTTCCCAGTTTGACAATGACACATTGTTGCTGTTTTGTGATGTGGACTTGGTCTTCAGAGGAGACTTTCTCCAACGGTGTAGAGACAATACAATTCAGGGACAACAGGTGTACTACCCCATCATCTTTAGCCAGTATGATCCAAAGGTGACCCATGTGGGAAACCCTCCCACAGAAGATGACTTCCGGTTCTCAAAGGAAACTGGATTTTGGAGAGACTATGGCTACGGAATCACTTGCATTTATAAAAGTGATCTGCTGGGTTCAGGGGGATTTGATACTTCCATACAAGGCTGGGGACTGGAAGATGTAGACCTCTACAATAAAATCATCCTATCTGGCTTGCGGCCCTTCAGAAGTCAAGAAGTAGGAGTGGTGCATATTTTCCATCCAGTTTATTGTGATCCGAACTTGGACCCTAAGCAATATAAGATGTGTTTAGGATCCAAAGCAAGTACTTTTGCCTCAACCATGCAATTGGCTGAACTCTGGCTAGAAAAACATTTGGGTGTCAGGTACAATCGAACTCTCTCCTGACAGTACAGGCAAATACATATTGCCTTTTCTAAAGGGGAGTTTACCTCATTGTTGGTTGTTATTTTATTTTATTATTGTTATTTTATGGCTGTTATTATTATTGTTATAATTTTATTTTGTTGTCCCAGTCTTAAAGTACTCTAGGTTATCTTCCAAAGGATGTTTTATGACCTCAAGCAGTAAGAAGAGTCTGCAGTTCACTGATATTTCAGAGTCAGAGTTCTACTGAAGTCAATATATTATTACTTTCATACAACTTCGAGATTGAGTTAAATCATAAGTGACTTTGGAAGCTCATACACTACAAGAGACAGCTTAGAAGAATGTTCTCTTAGGGCTTAAAGATGCAATATCGACTTTTATTTTGTTTGTCAACTTCAATGTGATACAAATATTTACTGGTGAAAGGTACCACAAAAGTGCTTTATGCTTCCCTTGAGGAAGGGACTCTGTAACATACACTTGAGTTTTGTAATTTATATGAGGACTTAAATATATAGACAATAATTTTCTTCATCTTTAGAATTTTTAAAGTAAATGAACACCTATGATTGTATGTTTATTTTTTAAAAAAATGTTTTAAAAATAGAGGAGTTCTGATCCACAAGCAACAGGTACTGGCTACCCTGGTCTTAGACAATTATGAGCTCCTTACAACTGTCTGCTATAAATGCAAGTGAACTTTATTTTCTCAAGGAAATATGATTTAATGAAATATTCATGTACATTTTAGATGCTTTATGAAATAATGTCCTTCATTTGCTGGCAAGAAGATGAAATATGACAGAACCTGTTTATTTATAATAAAACACAGGTATGAACGTATTCTTTTTCAAAAACACTGAAAAGTCTTGTCGTTTCCTTTTAGTGGAATTTATATACTTATTATACTTGTGTTCACCCAAACATACCAGCTTCATCATATGAAAGAGAATACCAAGGGATCGTAGGTGAATTGTTTACATTGTCATGCCTTAATCCTAGCCTTTAGGAAGTTTTAAAGTTCAATAATCTGTAGTCTGAAAGCAGAACTTCTAAATAGTCTCTGAAGATTGGGAGTCAGTCCAGCCAGTTCAAATAGTTCAGAATTTACCTTGGAAAATACTTCAAAACTAATACAGTCATTGGGAAAATTATGAATAAAATTAATTTTAAAATTATGAAAAATACTTAGAGAAATATCTAATTTCTTATGTCACTTTTTTTCTTTGAACTGAACCTAGCCTGTCATTTATAGACAAGCATCATCGTATTTAAGAGACAGAAACTACCTACGCAAGAAAAGGTTTTTGAATTCATGTTGAAAATAGGAAATACATTTACACAGTGCAAAATTCAACCAAAGCTTTTAAACATCTACGGCGGTGTCTCTCCTCCCTCTTCTACACAGACCTTCTCTGGACCACAGCAACCACAGTTTTGGTTAAAAGGTGCCTGCATGCCTGACTTCCTAGAATATTTAGTGAACAGAGATTTTTGTTTGTTTGTTTGTTTGTTTTGGTCTTTTTGAGACACCGTCTCCCTGTAGCTCCAGCTGTCCTGGAACTCACTATGTAGACCAGGCTGACCTTGAACTCACAGAGATCCGCCTGCCTTCCGAGTGCTGGGATTAAAGGCGTGCACTCACCCTTTTTAAACAAAATGGAGTGCTTTGACTTTTCCTTTTTCACTAAATGAGAAAACAAATTGCATCAAAATTAATTGGAGAGTGATTGTCACAAATTGCTGCCATTATTTAGAATAGACTGCCACAGGCCACACAGCATTTTCTTACTGAGGGTTCTTAACATAACAACTTCTTTGACTGAAGATATTTTCAGGACTTCAAAAATAGCATTGCTTAATATTGAGAGAACGTGATGGAAATTTCCTTCACTAATCATATAATCTTAATAATGTCAAATTCACCAGAAAGGAACAAATGACATGTTCATTTTGAAAATGCTCATCTTGACAGGGCCAGCAATTTAGAATTGATCTTTGCTCTTATGTTGTCATAGGTCTTCACAAATCTTAAATAGATTTTTTTTCTTAAGTCACTTAATCCTTATACAGATTTTTTTCTTAAAAAGCAAGTGCATTCAGTTGGCATCATTTGGGATAATTTATCATCAAAGATTAAGGAACTTGTCCTGAGGCTGTACAGATGGCATGCTATTGAGTACAAATTTGAGCTAACGGGTCTCTGATGGAAAGTACCAGCCTTGGGGCTCTGTCTTCTCAAGTGTTGAGGGACTATAGAAATCAGTGGAAGGCAATGGTCAGCTGAAACCTTCGATGTGTTTGATCTGTCCTTTAGATGTGTTTGATCGGTTCTTTAACTTGCTTCTGCAGCTAAATGCTCCTTCTGGAGTGAGAAAATGTTGCTGTCTCCCCTAGCTTTTTCTCTCAGTCTTCTCCCACTTTTCTGGATCCTTATGTACCACTGTGCCTGGGAAGGAAGTGGTTTTGCTGTCTACCACTCATAAGCCACTGCTTCACCAAAAGAAAAAACATCTCAAAATTGGTCCTTCCACTATCTGTCCTTCTGTGCTGTCTCAGCCACTGGGTCGTGAAGCTGTCCACCCTGATGAATATCAGCAGGTGACTGTGGCTCCCGATGTCACTTTACCCACACAGGCTTGACATAAGCACACTGTCATTACCAAACTATTTCTGAATGTAGGAGTTGAGTTCATTATGGATAACTAGTAGTCTGAGAACTACAGGAAAGAAATATCCAAATGTGTACTGATAATCCCAGCCAAGGGAATAAATGTTCACCAGAAACATAAATTATAAAGTAACTTTATGTCTCAGAAGGCCTAAGACCCTTTGCTAGGCAGTCATTCTATGGTTGGACCACTGATTAGTGGCCCAGATTCCTTCTTCCAGCAGTGTTTGAAACATGAGTGAGATTCCTTTCTATCAGCTTGATTGTTCAGAAGACAGGCTGCAGTGTTAGTCCCTCCATTAGGACTCACAGCATCCTCTTGGAGAGGATACAAAGGATAGACCTGGATCTGGAGAGCTGCTGTCCCTGTTCTCCCATCTAACAGCCACTGTGTTCATGTGGGTAAAATATAGCAAGACAAGTCTCAAGTCGCCCACAGAATACGTGTAGCTTCATGTTGACTTTGATGAGTGGAGAATGGAGAAACAACGCTTTCTACACATTTTGCTTTATGTAGACAAGCTACCACTATCTCCCTGCTGTTTCTTGCCCTTTGTCCTGCTTCTTATAGGAAGCCAGTGTGCCTTACTCTGGTGGTATCTCCAAGAGAAGGCTGCAAGTAATCTAGAGACTTGTGCACCTAACTCTTAATTTGTGCTCAATTCTTCAAGGCATTTCTTTTCAGAAAGTAGCCTGGAATTAGAGCTGTTACAGGATGAATGAGCAACACCCTGTAGGACAATAAAGGGACTTTTAAAATCAGTTTTTACTACTGCTGCCTTGCCTACCTTCAGTCACTTTCTCTACTGTTCTTAGCATCTTGATCATTTTCAAGTGTGCAGTGTTAGAGCATTCTGCCTGTGCTGTGACCAGAAGTCCCCTGGTCCTTCCATTTCAGTCAAGAAGAGCAGTACAGCAGGGGCTAGCCTGTTGGTTTTCCTTCTGCCTGCCCCACAGCCTCATTCAGATGCCAGCCCTGCTGTTTGTCATGACAGATGGTTAGGAGAATCTTCAACACCAGCAGTGACTCAGCTCCCAGGTGGTGGTGCAGCCAGCATCTGGATGAAACTGCAAGAACCACTGGGCCGGAGCAGAGAAGCTGGGATATTCTAATATGGTCTTCGATTTCATATCCAACTGTCTATGTCCCTCTTCTCTGATCTCAGAAGCCCCTGCCATCTGAAGCAGGTGTGGGGATTCTACTTCATTGAAGGGCTTTATTTCAATACATTTCAATGAAGGGTGACAAAAGCTGAGCTTATGAGTTTGCTGATGGGCTCTGTATGCTTATACACATTTTACTCAGTTACCATTCAACTGACGTTTCTGTAGCATTCATTTTAGAGGGTTCGGCAGACATGAAATTGAACTGAAAAACTGTTCTGTAAAGTTGTTCCCTTATAAAGAGAGACTTCCAACATAAACACAAACATATAGTAATTTAAAAGATGCAAATACTCATGCTTATCTGTAATGTGAACCAGTTATCGAACATTTATTGAGAACTTGTTTTGGGAAAATGCTCTCAGGGAAATCCCTGAGACCATAACGGAGATCACTGCTGGTCCTCCGTGCCACTAGGTCCTTCATTGGGGTTGTTCTCCCTCACTTCATACACTCAAAATGCCCACCATACCACATTTTTAAATTTTAACAAAGAGAGGTATATGTAAACACTAAAGGAACCAAAGATCGACAGTGGAATTTCAAACACAGGAACGTGAATCTGCCTCAGTTGTATTTTGATTTTTCCTGCATCAAAGTTTCAAGTGAACATTGGTCAAAAGTAACTTAGAGCCAAAAACTCACATATAAGTGAAAATAAATCCTCAGCCTTGGGATTTGCCCCCACCTTCAAAAACAGGCCACGCTGACTTCACTGAAAGTTCTAGTGTTATAATCACACTCAAATTTGCCATGCCTCCCTCCTTCACCAAAGTACCAAAGTGGCTCCAGTGCCTGTTTTAGTTTTCTGTTTGCCTTTTTGGGGCATAGAGTCTCCCTGTAGCCCCAGCTGGCCCAGAACTCACTATGTGGAACAGAGATCACCTGCTTCTGCCTGGAGAGTAGTGAGCTTAGCTGAAGGCATGCTCCACCATCCCCAGCTCTTCCAATGCCTGTTTCTAAAAGGAAACTCTAGTTAAAGGACTAAAATGTTAAAAACACAGTGCTCATAAAGTGTATTTTCTTCTTTTCCACTTCCCGCATGTTTTTCGTGTTATTGCAGCACGCTTGTGACTGCCTTTACCTGTTGGTATTTTACATACATTCTGTATTTTATACTCAGAAACAACTTGCCATAAACTACATAGAGTTTAGTCAATTTTCTAGTATCTATTTTGAGGAGTTACTGTGAACTTCCACTTATGAACTTAAAGCATGAAATTCACATGAATTTTCAACCCTTCAGTGGCAGTCTTGGTCTTTTGAAAGAACATTGGAATTAATTCCCACACCTTGCTATTTGACTGGAACCCCAGAAGCTTTTTCATAGCTATTTAGTATTGAGACTGGAAACTGAAGGCAGAGATGGTCAGAACTCTTTGATCCCCCCCAAAATACTTACTGTTTCTTAATTAATCTGTTCAATATTACATCCTGAATTTAATGGAAAAAAATTGCATCAAAAATATTTACTGTATTAATTATTAATTAAGGAAGAATTTCATAAATAAATTTTAATGTGTATTTTTAGAACCTACTTTACTTTTGCAAAGTAATTCACATGGAAAGACATTAGCATGTGTCTTGGTTTGTTTCTTCATTGCTGTGACAAAACACTCTGACCACTACCAACTTGGGGAGGAAAGGGTTTATTCAGCTTACAACTCCCAGGTTGCAGTTCATCAGGGAGCCCAAGGTAGGAACTCAGGGCAGGAACCTGGAGGCAGGAGCTGGGGCACAGGCCATGGAGGAATGCTGCTTACTGGCTTGCTCCTCTGGCCCCTGCTCAGCCTGCTTTCTTATACAACACAGGCCCACCTGCCCAGGGGTGGCACCACCCACAGTGGGCTGGGCCCTCCCACATCACTCATCAAGAAGATGCCCCTCAGACACGGCCACAGGCCAGTCCAATAGAGGCAATTCACCAATTGAGGCTCCCTCAACCCAGGTGTGTCAAGTTGACACTAAAGCTAACCAGCACAGCATGTATATATGTGTAGGAAGATGAGTAAAAATCATTTGGACTGGATC